TGATTTAAAGAAAACGTCACCTGAATCATCCGTGGAAGGCTCTGCAAGCTCTACAACAGGAGATCGCCCGGCTTTTAGCTTATCTGTTGCTCAGCATGGCGCGAGCTCGCATGAAGCACGTCTTGACACCCTAACTCCTCTTACCAATGCAGAGTCATCGCCCGTTCATAAAGCAAACTCACCCCGGAATAAAATAGCAGAAGAGGTTATTACAAATGCTACTATCGATCCTAAGAGTGGAATAACCCCTCTGCACACCCCACCAACACCACAGTCTCAAGGCCGTCGCACAGGAAGCATCAGAGGTTACAAGCTGGTCTATGACCCTGACTCCGAAAAACGATCATCTTCGAAGGAGAAGCGAAGGAAACCCCGTTATGTTGAAATTATTTTGAGCGAACAAGACAATTGCCCCCCAGACCCTCGCCTGGGAATTCCAAATTACATGCGAGGTGCCGGTTGCAAGCAGAAGAGGAAATATCGACCAGCGCCCTATCCTTTAAAGCATTGGCCTTATGATGCTTCAACGACAATAGGGCCCGGGCCTCCTGCGCAGATAGTCATCACTGGTTTCGACCCTCTAACCCCCATCGCGCCGATCAGCGCCTTGTTCTCGAGTTTCGGAGATATTGCCGAGATAAATAACCGCACGGATCCGATTACTGGCAGGTTTCTTGGAATATGCTCAGTAAAGTACAAAGACAACGCTTCATTTCGGGGTGGTGGTCCTGTCCTTGCAGCAAGCGCAGCTAGGCGAGCGTTCTACGAATGCAGAAAAGAGCAGCGCATTGGGACGCGAAGGATCAGGGTTGACTTGGATCGCGATGGGGTTGTTTCAGACAGATTTGTGGCTAGGGCAATTGAGTCCCAGAGGATGGGACAGAAAAGCAATCTTCTATCTACAGAAGAGGCGAAATCAGATTCGGAAATAAAGAAAAATGAGCCCCCTCCGACGGCGCCGAAAGGTCCTTCAGGAAAATCCTCTGTTCGCCCTATGGTTGTGATTCCTGAAGGACCGAGGGCAAATTTTCTTAAACCCGTCATGCCGTCCTTGGTTGAGGAAGTGCCCATTTTGAGTCAGATCAAAAGGGATCCGTATATCTTCATTGCTCATTGCTACGTACCAGTCCTTAGTACAACCGTTCCACACCTTAAGAAAAGGCTCAAGCTGTTTAACTGGAAAGACATTCGTTGCGACAAGACCGGGTACTATATTATATTTGAGAACTCTAGGCGCGGCGAGGAAGAAACTGAGCGCTGCTACAAAATGTGCCACATGAAGCCTCTGTTCACCTATATCATGAATATGGAAAGCCAGCCTTATGGCAATCCCAGCTATGAGCGCAGTCCAAGTCCTGAGCGATGTCGAGCAGAACAACGCGAGCGAGCAGAAAGAGAAAGATTGGAAAGAGAAGTGGGTCTTGATATCGAAGAAGAGAAAAAGCAGCGTGCGGTTGACCTTGATCCCTGCCAAGAAGTATTAACCATCATAATCCGGGACCTGAAAGATAAACTTCTTGAGGATGTGAAGTCACGCATTGCTGCACCAGCCTTATATGACTACCTCGACCCGGACCGGCATGCTCTGAAAAGGAAAACGCTAGGTATCGCTGACCCGGAAGGGATCACAAGACCCATGTTTCGAATTGATAATTCATTCGGGACACCAGACTCGCGGACAGGGTTATCAGACACAAGGCGTCCTTTCAGTGGATCTACACCAAATATTCTTGCACTTCCGCGTATTCGGAAGGCTCGTCATCTTGGTCGGACAGATACTGCTTTCTTGGACGAAAGGCGCAAGCAGCCGCTGCGGAGAAGAGAAGTCCGACCACTGTATCACCGACTGCAACAGTTGCATGACGTTGACGACTCAGATGATGAGCAACGAACACCAAAAGATACGGATGAGCAAGACAGTCGGCCACCAAGTCGGATGAGCTCGGGTACTTCAGAGTCTGATGATGACGACGGCTTTGTTTCTGAGGCTTTGGGAATTCCACTTGTAAAACTGGCTGGTTCATGTCAAAGTCAAGAGCCCGAAGAGATTTTGAAGGACAATCAATCAGTAGGCGAAAGTTCACAGCTTGAAAGCCACGGAATTTCTCCAGCGTCGCGAAAGCGGAAAAGAGCTAGTGAAGAACTCGAGGCGCGCAAAAGACAAAAGGAAGATGACGAACTTTTTGGCATTGATCCTGTTACAGCAACCGAAGTCGAAGGCGCCCAAATCATCACAACCCCTATACCCGTGGACATAAATCTCAAAGGGCCAGAAGCTGCTCTTAGTATCCTGCCAGAAGAGAGTCATGATAATCGGCAAGAGATGGGAGGAGCCAACCATCTGGACCTCAATAGTATTGATATTGCGTCCTCAACGATAGAGAAAGACCGACACGGTATACTAGCTCCCCTTGACGATGTCAATAGTGCAAGAGTGCGCGAAGAATCCAGAACAGAGGTGGAATGGCGAGTGTCGAATGATGAGCCTAGGCCCATTGTCGATGACGACGACGCAATAATCATGGATCTCGACGGATGGCAGAATTTAATAAAAGACGATGAGGATCTGCACTTTCTTCGAGATATCCTTGTTGGATATCCCGAATCCAATGTTGGAAACTTGTCGGCTTGGGCATGGAGACAGAAGGAAATCAAAGCCCTCAATCATCCCGGAGATGTGGGTCCCGTGTGCAAAGAGACTGGCATCACAGGTTATTACGTACCCAATACAACAGGTGCTGCTCGAACTGAAGGAAGGAAGAAAATATTGGAGTCGGAGAAGTCAAAGTACCTGCCACATCGTATCAAAGTCCAGAAGGCGCGTGAAGAGCGCGAGGCCAGAGCAAAGAATGATCCGCATACTGCTGCAGTTGAGGCTGCAAGAGTTGCTGCGGCAAAGAACATATCTAAGTCTACATCCAGATCTACACGAGTCAATAACCGCCGATTGATTGCAGACATCAATGCACAGAAACAGGCTCTTCCCACTCAATCCGGAGACGGCGACGTCCTTCGCTTTAACCAGCTGAAGAAACGAAAGAAGCCAGTACGCTTTGCTCGGTCAGCTATCCATAACTGGGGCCTCTACGCCGAAGAAAATATATCAGCAAATGACATGATCATTGAATATGTAGGTGAAAAGGTGCGGCAGCAGGTTGCAGATATGAGGGAGAGGCAGTATTTAAAGAGTGGAATCGGTAGCAGCTACCTTTTCCGCATTGATGAGAACACAGTTATAGATGCTACAAAGAGAGGTGGCATTGCTAGGTTTATCAACCACAGCTGTACACCGAATTGCACTGCCAAGATCATTAAAGTCGATGGTAGCAAGCGTATTGTTATATATGCTTTGAGAGACATCGAGAGAGGTGAGTTTGGCAGAAGCATATTAATAGTCCGACGGGTGCATAAGTTAACGTATATTCTCTGCAGATGAGGAGCTGACGTATGACTACAAATTCGAAAGAGAGTGGGATAGCGATGATAGAATCCCATGCCTTTGTGGCTCAACCGGGTGCAAAGGTTTCCTTAACTGAGATGCTCTCAGCGTAGGAGGTTTCTCAGTTCGTCTGCCTACCGCTGTTGCCCCTCTTTATTTTTCATTTCTTCGCTCAACATAGCATAATATCCGGACTTGTTTGACTGATGCAGCATTGGTATTATGGCGTCTTGGCAGAGGCTTGGGTTAGCAGCTGTTCACATGAAACTGGCCAATGTGTAATTTTCTGCTTTCTTGTTTCCATTGTTGTCTGCGGTTCCCATCACGGCAACGCCTTGTATTTCATATTATTTCTGAATCAACTGCAACAAGCATGTACCATATAGCTTTCATCACTCGGCTTTTCGTCACATAAACTTCTTTATGATATATGCGGTCCGGGCAAGCACAAAAGACGCTGGCGGGGTTTGTAACATGTAGAATGAAACGATTTGCGGTATAAAACCTGATGTACTAATGAGGCAAGGCAGGGAACAGCCTTGAAGCCCTCCCAGGCTATTGTGACCTGACACTCAGCTCGCCGCGCTTAATGGAACAGCATATGCAGAAAATTTAAACTAAAACAAGTCAGAAATTGTAGGGTGATAGAAAGACAGCGAAGCCACAGACCCAAATGACTTGGTAAAAGGAAGTTTGCAATCCCCTCTTTGATCAAGTATTCATGGCCGCAATTCCCACAAGTCAATTTTCCCTCAATAATTTGGGTTTCCAATAATAATCGATGAAGCTGCCTTAATATTTGTTCATCCCTGAGCTCATCGCCCTCCGGCTTCTTATCCAGGATTTTGGGGAACCCAAGCTTGTAATGAGTGAGCGCTATCCTTATCTGAACACATCGCATAGCAGTGTGTACATTGTACTTACCTCATTTGCCATTGTCTGTAATGCATGCCAATCAATTCGAGGGACAATGTTACGAATAAACTCGGGTTGAAAATCAAGCTCCTGCAGCTCAAGCTCCGCATCCCTAAAATGAAGTGGGAATGACGCCGGTGATGCCTTGCACCCTTTGACGGCACATGTCAAAAAATTGGCAGTAATCAACTTCATTAAGGCTCTTATAGGTATGGTGGTGTGATGTTCGGTTGCGAATGGAGCATGTAAGAGCAGAGACAGTAGAGGATATTGCTTGGGGCAAATTATCTCATAGCGGAAGAGGACAGAAATCTACTGGGGAAAAAAAATCCAACTTAAACAGTACTTTCACGCGTAAAGTAAACTCGCAACCAGAGTACACAGTCAATTTCTGGCCATCCACGATGTGTATATTTACTAAGGCTTCATGTAATGGATATATTTCATGATATAGAATATATCTCCTCGTCTCATATCAGCTATCGAAAATAATGCATTTAGTATGACCCAGCCTGAAGCCAATAAGACTTAATCGTATTCATTATTGCATCGGTAAAAAAACGGTCTGTTGACCTCCCAATGGAATAAGCCTTGTTCCCTTCGATGAGTAGACGAAGAGGAAAGGGTGTCCGCTAAACTCCACATTTCATTTGATCACGACATCCACGAGGTCACCATCTGCCATGTCATACATCAACAGACGAGAACTGGGATCTAACCGATCACCATCAAACACTAGGTATACTTCCTGGTTTTCCGGTAAACTTTTTGCATCACGAAAGATAGTGACAAGTCGCGAGACTTGCATTCTTGGACTAACATTCAATTCCAAGTCGCCAGCTCTTGGGCATTTCAAAACGACCCTTGTTGATAGAAGCCCGCTGCTGCTATCTACAGCTGTAGACTCTTGGGAAGATGCAGAGTAACTTTTATGCGAGGCTTTCCAGTCATCCATTGTCATTACATTGTCTTCGATAACAGCCTCCATGTGGATACGGATGTCTTCTTTGCTGCCATGCTGAATATGATCGCCATGTACTGAGCTGTCAGCAAACCCTTTTGGCACGCCAATCCCCAAGCTCCTGCATGTTGTGACATCAAATAACCTTCTGCCCTTCCAAGTCAGGAGTATGGAGGACTGCATCTCTTTCGGTATACTTTGGCGGTTACACCATGCAAGACGAACATCTCGCAGCGACTGTGACATTTTTCGGTGGACTATCAGCGGCTTCGTGCTTTCAATTTCGGAGGTGATAAGAATCTGAACAACCGTATCATAATCCATAGAATCAGGGTGCTGATCTGTATGGACTCCAACTTTTCGCTGGTTATTTCGAGCATCACAAGAAACAGGGATCTTGTCGACTGCCTTTTCCGTCTCGGTTATTTCTGCATTGGTACTTGGGTAGGGCCAACCGTGAGTTCGCCGAATATCTCCAGTGTTAGAGGAATCAACCTCCGAGTCAGCAGCGCTAGCTTTGTCTGTTGGCAATTGCACCGGCGTCCGGTAGTCGTTACGATCACTTATGTATGGCGAAGTCTTCCAGAAGTCAACGCTGCGTGGAGGTATGACTTGTATATCGCCTCTCTCTTGGTCGTCATCAGGAAGAACTCGGGGTGCGGGTTCTCTTGACAACGGCGCCTGTGAGATGTGTCGACGCTTACAAACCTTACCGTCCTCTGTAGTAGAACTGCAAGGACTACCTAGTGGACTATCTCGAGCTACCTTACTTGCAGCGATAATGTCTGCGTACGTTTGGCCAGCACGACGGTAGAATTCAGAGTCCATATCATCATCTCCCCTTGTTGCCCACGAAGGCCTCTTAAAAAATGACCGCATGAGCTTCAGGCAGGTACCGGAAAGATATATCGCGTATTCTTTCAATTAACAGGATTCCGCCAGCTAAAAGAATGTCAAGGCGAAGATATATCTGGGTGCCTGATATCTTAGGCGGTCAATTTTGCACTGCGAAAGGCACCCTTTGGACGGAGCGCCTGTCTTGAGGTATTAGGGGAGTATGATGGTGGACTGTAATGTGAAGAAGTCTCAATGACGTGTTGGTTGGGCGGGACCATCTAAGCTCCTACCTACAACCTACATAGTACACAGTAGTTCAGTCCAGTATCCACAATAGTTTCCAACTTTATACCACTCCGTCTGGAGGCTGAATATACTGGGAATGGTACGTACTTCCTATCTTTTGAGACTCATTAAGAGTATCCGTAAATGTGTGATTACTCAAATTGTAGGTACTCATCAGCATGTAGTGCAGTTGTGGCTAAGTGGAGAAGGCATCTATTCGCCACTCTTTGTACTGTATAAACTACATGAGATATTAAGGTAAGAAATACTAAAATTTATGTATACACATACCTAAAAAAAACAGCGATGTATCATCAGATAAGCTGCTGTATGCGACAATAAATGCTGGACAGTTTCTGGCAGTACTGTGTAGATTTCTATTAACATCCGATGATGTACAACGCGTTACCTAGGGACAAATGAGGTGGCCTCGACCCTTCTAATCTTCGGTCACTCCAGATCCATCATTCACATGAGAAAGGCCCGGTTGAATAATGGATATAGTATAGGATCTTAATTTAACAAAAAGATTGTGTATTAGTGATATTCTGTTGGCTGGTCCAGTCCTTGCGCTGTATGCTGACCCGTTTCGTTGGCTCGAGACTATGATATAAGTAGACTATCAGACACCTATACGAACTAGTCTGAGGCCGCAAAAGATATATTATCACGGTTTACATAATAAATCAAGGTTATGAATAATTTATTAGATCAGTCTTGCTAGGTTATATAACTATATTATCAGTTACTCTTTCTTATGGGCTACTTGGTTAGGTAACCTACTCCGGTGACTTGATCTAGGAAATAAAACAAGAACTAGACTTTCTCAACGAACCTCAATACTCCCTATGGAACAGGTCCTAGTATCACCTATGTATATCTAAGTAGATGTGCAGGATCAGGTGACTACAAAGGCTAACAGGATAAATCTTGGCTTCGGGACCACAATGAACCTGTTTGATCAAAAACGCTGCCTGCAATCTCCCCTCAACATTTACAAGTACGGTCCAGTGGTCCTACTAGAGCCATGTCGCACGAGGAAGACAATCAAAATGACTCGAACATCATGCAAGTGGGTTTCGTCCTGGGATGCAAGTTAAGTCCTTTTATGCAAATTATGGACTTGTTAGCATGCTTAAAACAGAGCATTAACACTTAAGTTGCAGGCCTTCAATGATATTTCCAAGTACAGACACACTGCTGCTCTATAACCATTTAAATAACCCTGACACCTACTTCCTAGAGGCGAGAAAACCGCTCTGGCGCTGGAGAATCACCTAAGCAGCCTGGAACGCAAAATTGATGAACTGCTCAACGGCTTCGAAGGAATACGCCAGCCGCAACCCACGACAGAAAAGACTAATTGCCAGGATAACAGCGGGGCTTCGGTTACTTCTCAGACTTTAAACAGCTCCTCTAAGTGAAATAATCCATCAGAGTCCTTTTCCACCACTCCCTTTTCAGTTATAATACCATCGATAAGAGCCCGGGGGGTTATATCGAATGCTGGATTCCAGACATTGATCCCTTTCGCTGCTATGCATACGGTTTCCATCTTGACGGCTTCAGAGGCACCACCATCTTCGCAGGTGCCTCTAACCATAGTAACCTCAGATGCGGGCCGCTCCTCGATAGTAATTTCATTCCCCGACTTGGTGACTAGGTCGATAGTCGTAAGCGGTGCAGCCACGAGGAATTTCACGCCATGGTGCTTTGCAAGCACAGCAAGACCATATGTACCAATCTTGTTTGCGGTATCACCATTAGCTGCCACCCTGTCTGCCCCCACCACAATTGCATTCACGCCTATCTCGGGCCTAGCGAGCAATGCAGCTGCCATTGAGTCTGTTATTAACGTAGCAGGAATACAGTCGTGAACTAGCTCAAATGCCGTCAAACGGGAGCCCTGGTTGTATGGTCTCGTTTCGGTGCAATAGGCATGTTGTAAGGTATCGGTTGAATAGAGTGCACGGATTACCCCCAGGGCTGTCCCGAACCCCGAAGTCGCGAGAGAACTGTCAACACGATTAGGAGAGTCTAACTACAGACGACAGCGCACTTACCCTGTATTACAATGTGTAAGAACCGTAGCCTTAGTACCGTTCTCGGATAGAGCATTTTCCGATATCCATTTGGCACCATACTCCCCAATCTTCCTATTGTCTTCAACGTCTTTCACCAGCATTGCTTCGGCAGCTTGGATAAACGCAGTAACAACAGTGTAGCCGGTGGACTCAGGCATCCTAACACTTTCTGCCACTATGGTCTCCAGTTTTCCAGCTGCATCACTAAGGTTGACTGCTGTAGGTCTGCTGCTCACCAGATAATGTAACTTCTCCGTGATAAAGGCCTGTGTCTCCATAGCATTCGAAGATAATTTGTTGCAAGCCATTAGAGTAGTAAGCTCTGATGCAAGTGAGAGGGCCGCTACTATGGCAATCGCAGGTGCTCCTCGCACTCGCATCTCCTTGATTGCATGCCAGCCTTCTTCACTTGTATGTATTGTAACGTATTTCTCTACATGTGGAAGCTGTAGTTGATCAATGATGGCAAGATTGCCACCATTATATTTTATTGCTTGCAGAGTCATTCCGAGAGATATTTGGAACAAATACAAGAATTTTCTGGGGGAGAGAAATGAAATAAGACTGGAACAGGGTGATGTGCGGAAGGAAGATGTGAAAGGAAAGGCCCCGCGGCCAGCTCGTCCCTCGCCCATACATCATCGGCAATTAAGGATTTATAGTCCCCCCCAAAAGTTTCCATGTGGTCTCAATTTTTCCCTCACAGCACCGCTTTTATATATATTGTTTATCTGTTTAGTATATAGATATACTATATAATAAATTATATACATAAAAGCGGTGTTGTGAGGGAAAAATAAGTCGGAATAGGTCCACACGGAAACTTTTGACGTAGAACTGTAAATAAATGAAAAACATTTCATGTAGGGCGGCACACCCTCATCTCATTTTGGCGGAGCAATAAGTATCACAACTTAGGCATGATACTTGTCACAGATGCTATTATTTGATTTAGTACATAGGTCTCTATATACACCTAAGTAACCGCAAGTCTCATCAGTTTCTTCAAGCTGCCAAGTGGACCTGAAAAAGTTCGGCATGTGCTTTGGTGAAGCCCAGGAGCCATCGACGTAGCACATACACATTCTAACTTGGACTTGGTGGATACCCCAACAATAGGAAAAAGCAACTAAACAGTCAGTTATTCACATTCTGCCTTGAGCCTATTATGTAAAAACTCCAAGGCCGTGGTATCCTGACTAGATAACGAAATTGTTCCATCTTCAAGTATTCCAACGGTAGCAAAGCAATACTCAATTGTTAGGCGAGCACTAGAGAGGTATTCGTGTTACAATAGTTCGTGTAGGATTTATCTAGGGCTGTTAGGTTGTTCTAGGGGCGATCAATACAGGGGTACTAAAGTATGGCCTCCCATATGAATAGAGCTGTGATGAGATAGATGATCTGATGAGGGTAGGACGGCACTAGACGTTGGTAGGGAAAACAAATAGGTTACTCGATTTATAATTTTATCAGCCAGCTTGCTGTTAATGTGGTGCCAGCAATTTCCTTCCTTCTCTCCCACCTGATATGTCCTGCTGAAACATTTTGTAGCTTAATTTCACAGACATAGCGAGAGGACAGACAATGCGGCTCCATTGAAATCACCCGTCAGATCCTCAATTTGCTGAGATGTAAAGCACTACAACAAGTATATACAGAATTAGAGCCATAACATTGTCAAGATAGGTCGATGGAACATACCATTATTTCCTCGGACAAAAGCATCTCCATAACTTCGCCCTAACTTCCCATTCACATATTCCTCAGACTTTTCTAGGGCAATATTCATGTAACCATCTACTGATTGAAGTTCACCTAGCCTGATATCAGCATTTGGGCAAGGGTAGTTTTAATGAGAATGGGATGAAATGACCTTTATAGACAACACCCGAGTTCAGCTTCACAGTGACTGGGGCACCAATAATCTCACTCAGGAAGACTGATGGGTCTTTGCCTTCTGATGCTGTACTATTCTCCATCTTCCCTTGACTGGTCTGTCTCCAGTTCAGTACTTGAGGGGTGACAAGGAAATACTTGCTTGCAGTTGCTATTACTTGTCTAATCGTTTGACAAGTGCACGTGCCATACAGGCCAAGTTCTTGGCGTTCCTCGGTGACTGAGATAATGATATGCTTTTAGTGTTGCAAAATAGTGTAGTGTAGTGTACATATTCTTTGGCTGTGCTAAGAATATAAGATTTGAACTATATCAGTAGGAGAAATTTAGGTTTACTGTTATATACTAATAGTTACTTTGTTGTTGTATTTATTCACCGCGTTGCAGGGAGGTTATCTGTTGGTAGACTGCGCCAACATGCCCAATATCTAATTAGTAGTAATTATTATAGATATCCGCATATCCTCTCAGGCAAACTGCAGATGTATTATGTTATTTACTCTTTGTAATTTGCAATTTTATAGGTATAGTATTATTGGAATGATATTTCCTTTCTAGATAAAACTAAATAAAACAATAAAAGTATTTTTTAAAATTATTTAATTAAGAATATTAGAAAAGGAAGAGTATTCTTTTATTTCTATATATCTCTAGTTTATATATAGTCTCTCCAGACAGTAAAAGATATATTCTCTACCCTTATATATGACAGTATATCTCTTT